AGTTTGGTGAAGACAATCTGTTTCAAAAACAAGGTTTCACAGTTCAACAGTTAAAAACGCATGTCTCTCAAGAACATGATAAACGACATTTTCCACTTAAAACATATTACAACATGAACACCAATAATTTTCTAGGTACCAAGAAAATAACAAGTAATATGCCACACAGTTCTCAAGGCTATAAGCCCGTTGGATCCAATATCGAACTAAGAGTCATCCTTAGGGTGGCAACCTGGGCCTTTTCTCGAAGACGATCCGATTGAAGGTCACCTAGCTTAACCTAGGTATTTTCCTTACAATTGTTGAGCACTAGAGTCATCACGGCCCAACCCAGATCTGTTCCCTAGTGGCCAGAGTCACCACACATAGTGGAATAATTTCCCTGGACTAAAATACACAGATGGTCCCAATAATCAATACACATCAGTTTCGCAAAACATGGCAGTTCATCATTATAAACATGAGACCAGAACAAATAGTTTACAGTATGCCAAGTTCACACATGTTTCGGAAATAATTTGATTCCATTGATAATATAATAATTTATCAAAATAGTTTAGTTCTGAAACAACAATTTAATTTTCCAACAGTTCAGGGTAGGGGTACATTTATAAAAATATGTAGCATGAAACTACTCACCTGAAAAATGAAAAATATAATCCTTGAATAGAGTATGAAAGTCCAACTAGTGCCCTGAACCAAGTATAAAAACTACACGTCACTACTATTAAAAAATACTAAAGAATAGGAACTAAGTAAACCCAAACTAAAGCGCACTAACACGGCTCAACCCAACTCACCGTTACTCTTAAAATATTTCCTAAGTTCATGTTCTTCAAGGTCTAAAATCACCAAGACATTGGTTCAAATCGAAACTTAATTAAAAGTAACTTTAAGATAAACATTAATTTTAAACAAGTTTTCCCAATCTATTCGCTAACTTTGAAATTTACAAAACCCACTCCACGCTATTCGAAAAATTCCAAAAACCTCCAGATATCAACTAATATATCCTAAGTTTCAAACCCAAATGGTTTCACTTGATTTGCTTATCAAAATAATTATCTACAATTAATTATATCTAAACAAGTTGTTTTCTGCAGCACTTTAAAGAAATTAATGGTTCTCTTAGTATACATGAGCAATCAACGCAAGGCCAAAAATGAACGAAACTAGACTCATAACCAGTTCTAATGACCCCAATTTGATAATTTTCGGATTTATACCCAAAGCGAACAACACTCCCGAACTTACTGTTTAAAACCAGTTTCTGGACAGATTTGAACGTAGCAGTTAATATAGATTTTGACTCCCAAAAATTATGAGAAAATTCGGATATGCAATTCAATATGTAATTAATCTACTATAAAAATTTCAATTTAAAATTCATCCATTTGATATAGTTTCTTAATTTTTAAAGTTTGTGATTTTGTGCAAAATTTTTGGACTAAGAATTACACCCATTCTTTATACATGAATTTAACTCCTCAGATTTCTTAACAATATATATATATATACAAAATACATAAACCTACAACCTCTCCATCAATGAACTAAATACTAATAGAGTAAAGATAAAGAACAAAAACAAAGAGAAGAAGAAAGATAGAGACTTACCACACGAGCACAGATCCTCTCCTTGCACTCCCTCCTTATAAGGCCTTCGGGCCCACTTTTAGGCCCAATTTTGATAATTCGAACCGTTCATGTTTTAAGATTTATTCAGTATATCATATCTGTAAAAAATCAAGTTGATAGGATATCAGAAAGCATGTGTTCGGAAAAATCGAACTAAAAACTATTTTTTTAAAGAATTTAATAAACAGTTTTCCGAACACATACTTTTTGATATCCGATCAACGTGATTTTTTACAGGTATGATAGACTGAATAAATCTTAAAATATGAATAGTTTGGATTATCAAAATTGGGCCTAAAAGTGGGCTCGAAGGCCCTGCAAAGAGGGAGTGCAAGGGGAGGATCCCAATTCTTACCACACACCCAAAAGTTCTTCCTTGTTTGCAACCCCTTTTTTTTCTTCTTCTTTTCTCTCAACCTCTCTCTCCCGTGGCTTCTATTGCTACTGTTATATGTTGTATTAGGCAACCTAGGGTTACATTATATATCTAAACAAAAGGCTCTAAATTATTACCTCTTTATATTATTATATTTTCTAACCCATTAATTTAAATAAAATATAACCATTATTATAACAAAATATACTTACTAACTTGCCCTTTTTTTTTTCTTTTTTTTTAAATAATAAATCTTGTCTCTAAATTAAATACTTTCACCATAAATTTATTTTAAGTTTAAAAATTAATTAAAAGACCCTCCAAATATTTAATTTGCACTTTAGGATTCACCACTAAAATATTTGAGATTGTAATATTATTATTATTTAATTATTTACTTAATTTTTATATTCGGGTTCTCACATCAAGGTAGCATCCCTTCAAGTCTAGGCAATTGCATAAATTTGTTGCATCTAAGCCTTGCACAGCACAACCTTAATGGGCCATTACCCCAACTAGTTATTGGTCTTGTTAGATTTCTGTAATTGGCAATCCTATTTGACAACACTTCTTTTAGTTGTAATTTTATTTGCTCTTTTGTTTCAATGAGGTTACGAGTGTTTAGGTGCGAATCCAACCCAAATTGTGTTGATGTAGAGAAGTTTGTGATCTTGATCCTTTCATGTTTGCCACTTCGCTGACTATGTACGGGGATCGAGCTGCTCGATCAGCTCGCAGGGGTCCAGGGGACAACGCAAATGCATTCGAGGTTGTTTGATTGCTCGAGTGGAGAAAAGGATCATCCAGTACTTTTGTAGTGCGCCTAAACTTCTAGGAAGAAAGTTTTACCACTTGAGCGGTGAAAGTTGCACTTGAGTGGTCATGTTTTGCACCGCCTTTACTCGCACCGCTTGAGTGGTGAAATGTGCGCTCGAGCGGTCTTCACGACCCAGTTCACTATAAAGTGCGCTGTTTGCTCGTTTTAGGGTTTGTGGTGTCCAGATTTTAAGAGAGGAAGAAAAAACAAAGTGTTTTATATTGGAGGGTGTTTTATGAGTGTTTCCCTGACAATTTAAGAGGATCCATTTGATGATTTAAGAGTGATCAATGGATCCGTGAACTTTGTACCAACATTATCAAGGGGTTTGTTTGTTTTCTTTTATTCACAAAAGAGAGAGTTGTTATTCGGTGGATTTTATCGAATTTGGGTTTGAAGCTTTAATGGATTCTAGAGTGGCTCATAGTAGTGGATTCGACATCAGCATTGTGGATTTAATGTTGGGTAAGACAATTCCGAGGTGAAGACGGTGGTTGAAGAGGCACATTGGGTCTGGTTCAATTCGGGCGTGGATTCACTAGGTAATTGAGAGTACTCTTGTGTAATTCCTGTTTTTGTCTTCTGAGTGGATTGTTTTGTGGCTTTGGCCTATGATTTTTTATCGTAATTGGAGGTGCTCCAATTATGATTTTTTTCATATTAAATCGTTGTGCCGATTTGTCTTAATTGTTTGATTGGGATTGTTATTTATTGTTTTAAATTGAAATATAATCACAAATTAATATTTCGGGGATTTTTAGAGTTGGAACTATCTCAAAACTCTTTGACAGGTTCTCTTTTCGTGGAAATTGGAAATTTGATGACCCTTATTTACTTGAATATTTCCGAGAACATGTTACCTGGTGAAATTCCTATTGGAAATGGTTGGAAAATTCTGGGTAAAACCATAATTTTTTCCTAAGTTTGGTATATTTTTTAGGTAGGCCCCGTGTGTCGATTTTCGCGGGTCAAAGTAGTAACCCGTTCTATGTTGCGTTGTAATTCACGTGGTATATTTGGTTGCTCAAAACCATTACCGAGTGAATGGGAAATTGAAGCCAAAGTGTGCTCCATGGAAATGGAGTTTTGGTGGAAAATCCTTAAAGGTTTGAATAAGGTTTGTCCCATATTGATTTGGTGGGAAGTTTTGAATGGATTTATAAGGCATGGGATTGCAACTTGGGGTGTGCCCCAAGGGGTACCCAAGTGTTTTAGAGAGGGAGGATATGGGCAAAATAGGCTAGACCCATTGGACTCAAAAATCACCACGCGCGTACTGCATCCGGTCGGGCGTGCTGGGCTTCGGCACGAGTGCGTGGTGTGAGGTTGGGTTGGGCTTGTCCAACCCAATACCTATCTTTTTGGGTAAAAAACATTTTAATTTTATTTTATTTTTTTGCAAAATAAAATCCAGAATTCAAATTAATTCCGGAAATAAACTGGTCTGATTTTTCTGTACACCTAAATAGGTCCCTTCCCGTTTTTATCTGTTTGAATTTTGAACCCAACAGATTTAAATCTGTTTAATTCAAAACCAAATAGGTTTCATACCTGTCCAAACAAGTTTGCACCTGTTTAATTCAAAACCTGCAGCCACCAATCCATCTATAAATAGGACAACCCTCATTTTATGTTTCATTGAGAAATTTCGTACTTCACCTCTGCAAATTTATTCTTCATTTTGCTGTATTTAATTTTTGTTAGAAAGAGTATAAAACACTTAGTGTGTTCGTTGTACAAATATATTGTAGTGTTGCATATATTTGTTGTTGATCATTTCATCTTGGGAGATAGACGTCCATATTCTGAAAGCACCGTGGAGAGGACGAATCTGTCTTAAGGACACAGTGTCAAACACTGGACTTGATCAGAATAATATTCAAGATATTAATCAGGTAAGTTATTTATTTATTTTCTGTTTTATTATTATTTATTTAAATCAGATTTTAATTTTGTTTTGGTAACAAAATAAAATCTGTTTTTTATTTATTTAATTCTATTTCTAGTTTGATTTTTGTAATCAAACATTTTTCTTTCCTTTCCTTTATTTCTTTTGTATTTTGTTTGTTGTTAAGTACACAAACAAAATTAATTAATTTAATTACAGTGAAGATTGTCGAACAATTCCTAGTACTCTTGTAGTTGTGTAATGTTGGAAACACTCTATGTATGGAGGGTAACTTGTTTCAAGGAACCATTCCTTCTACTTTCACTTCTTTGAGAAGTGATCAAATTTTGGATCTCTCTCGCATCAATTTGTTGGGAAGAATTCCAGAATATCTTCAGGCTTTTAAACTCTTGCAGATTTTGAATTTATCTAATTTGGGCCAATACCCCAACCAGTTATTAGTCTCCTCATTATCAAATTTGGGCCTACCTCACAACTCTTTGTTAAGTCCTCTTCTAGTGGAAGTTGGATATTTGAAGAACCTTGGTTACTTAAATGTTGGCGAGAACATGTTATATGGTGAAATCCCTGACACTCTTGGTAGCTGTGTATTATTGGAAATACTATCTATGGAGGGTAACTTGTTTCAAGGAACCATTCCTTCTACTTTGGATTTTTTGAGGGGTATTCAATTGTTAGATCTTTCTCGCAACAATTTGTCGGGAAGAATTCCAGAATGTATTGAGAATTTTAAATTCTTGCAGATTTTGAATTTATCTAACAATGATTTTGAGGGTGCAGTACCAATAAAAGGTATCTTCACAAATGCAAGTGCAATTTCAGTTGAGGGAAATAGCAAACTTTGTGGAGGTATTCCTGAATTGCAATTGTCTGTGTGCAACTCCATACGGTCCAAAAAGAGGAGACTAACTCTCGCTTCAAAACTGGCAATTTCTATATGTAGTGGGCTTCTAGGGCTTTCTTTTTTGTTGTTCATTCTATATATTTGTTGGTATAGAAAGACAAAAAAATATCTTTCTTCAGTTTCACTAAGAAAATCACTCTTGAGAGTGTCTTTTCAAACAATGCTACTGGTGGGTTCTCTCTAGAAAATTTGATTGGTGTTGGTAGTTTTGGGTCGGTGTATAGGGGAACTCTTGAATATGGTGCAACAATTGTTGCCGTGAAGGTACTCAACCTCCAACGTCATGGGGCTTCCAAAAGTTTCATAGCCGAGTGTAAGGCCTTGAGGAACATCAAACATAGGAACCTTGTTAAGGTACTCACTGCATGTTCAGGTGTTGATTATCAAGGTAATGATTTTAAGACCCTAGTTTATGATTTCATGGAAAATGGAAGTCTGGACGAGTGGTTGCATCCAGTTAACAGAGAAGAGGAATTGCACAATGAACCAAAGAAATTAAGTCTTCATTAGAGATTAAATATTTCTATTGATGTTGCTTGTGCGTTGGATTATCTTCACCATCAATGCTCAACACCAATAGTCCACTGTGATTTGAAGCCAAGCAATGTTCTTCTGAACAATGACATGACTGGCCATGTAGGTGACTTTGGGTAAGCAAGATTCTTACTAGAAGCCACTCACAGCTTCCTCACAAATCAAGGAAAACATTCTTTCACCCACTTTTCATTGATTAAATTTTCATACTCTTTTTCCTCTACATTCTTAGGAGAATTCCATTATAAATTTGTATTGCACATATTGAATTTAAGTGGCACACACAGATATCTTAATTGCGACACCTGTAGAGGGAAAAAAATGGAATTCCTTGTATTTTGCCTTACAACCACAATCAAAGTAGGCCACGGAATGATGACTATTTGATGTGGAAGAATTGCTTTCCTAAAAAAATTGATTAATTGCTTCCATTTTTAATACTTCTAATGTGTTTTCTTTTGCATTAGTTTGAGAAATAGATAACAAGAACAAGATTACTATTGCCTATACAATTCCCATATGCCAAAACAAATGAGAGGAAAAGGAGAGTTATCTTAGGAGTATTCTCGTACTTTTCATTTGACATTTTCTCGCTAGTCCTTGTTTCGATTTGAAACAATTGAAAACCTAATTGTTCTGTGAGTAATATGTGTATTGGTGGTTTCTATTAAAATTGGCCCCTAGGATTGGCACGAGATGGTATTTGACTGGTATGACAAATTAATACTGAGAAATTTGTTTCTGATGCGTGCTTTATCTGGTCAAACAAATAACAGCGTACTACTGTTTTTCGATTTTTAAGGAAAAAATATTACTTGTTGATTACTTCATAAGAATTTAGGTTGATGTTAACTTATTCAAAATTCAAACCATTGATGGCCTTTTCCGATGAAACAACTGATTTTTAGAAAAGGATTTGAGTGTCTTGACCATTTCATTGCATGATTTGTTTCTTGTAGAGTATGCTATGGGAAGTAAGGAGTCAACAGAGGGAGATGTGTATAGCTATGGGATTCTCTTGTTAGAAATGTTCACGGGAAAGAGACCCACTGATGACATGTTCAAAGATAGTTTGAACCTTCATAACTTTGTTAGGCTAGCTTTGCCTCACCAAGTGGCAGATGTTGCAGATCCAATGCTCTTTCGAGGAGGAGAAGAAGAGACTAGTACCCAGTACGAGTACGGCAACTTTTCGAAGTACCCGTACTTCATAGGTGATGATGCAATTTAACTTTCAGAGATGCTTCTGTCCGATTTTGTATTTGGTGTATGTATTTCTAGACTTTTTCATAAATTAATGACAAACTGAGGAAAAGTGAGCATTGTTTTGAGTGATTTCCATGTATTCCTTTGGCAATTTCTTGGAACCCCACTACAAAAAATTAAGGTTTTAAAGACCAAAATTGAGGGACAAAATTATTTTTTTGTGACCAAATATTTTTATTGCGAAAAGTGTCGTCATTATATTTTTAGCAATAAAAATTGAACATTAGTGATGAATTATTATTCTTTTGGGATCAAATTTTTTGTCTCAAAAAATGAACCATTTTGAGACGACATTATTTTGTCTCTAAAAGTCTATTTATTAGTGGCACTTTCAAAATTTTGTCACTAAAAACCTTAATTTTTATTTTTCGAGACGACCTTTTATCAACTATCCTCACGATAATAAAAATTGGTCGTTAAATGTCTGTTGCTTCTCTTTGGGATTACATGTTTCTCACTATAGTATAAATATTATTGTCTTTTTTTAAAAAAAAATTATTTTTAATTAATTAATTGATTTTTGGGTGTGTTATGGGTTACTGTGAAGATAATCCTTTTCTCTCACAGGCTCCATCTTGAACTTTTTAGTTAATTGCATAAACACTCAAAAAAAAAAAAGATTTAAAAATTAAAATAAAATCTTTGCTCGAAATCTAATGAAAAAAACCAGGTTAATTATGTTTAGCGATTTTTTAATCAAAATCTTATTTTGATTTGATCCTTTCAATTTTAATTGTGACAATTACCTTTTATACTTTAGGTTAAATTACAATGAAATTCTTCCGTTCATTTAACCTTAATAAGTCTGATGTGAACAATTAGTAATTTTTTTATTTTTTTTCTCATTACCATCTGTATACTTTGGCATTAAAAATATATCGTATAATATATAATTTGTTGGCAGGATAGGGCTGACTTGAAACACTCTTCCCAACCCAGGCCTATATCATAATTGGGCCAGAATATTTTTCCCAACCTGACCTCATGAGCCTAAATCATAATCCAAAGTCCTATAATTCATGGGCAGACTCGAGTGAGCTTAGCAGGCCATTAGGCACATGTCCACTCCACCCTTGGCTAAAACATTAAAATTACAACACCAAGAGCAAAATTGAAACTTCCATTCATTCCAAAGAAAACACACTCAGATCTTGTATAGCTGCAGATCCTTGTAACAATGAAAGTATCAACTCCCCAATTTAAAAGTGTGCATCACAGATTTTCCTTTTAAAATATTAAATAAGTAAAAAAAAATTATATAAATTTATATTGAATTCTAGTAACACTATATTCAAAAAAATGGTTCATGTGATAATACATTTAATGAAATTTCATGACCAAATTAGACTTGTTAGGAAATTTTCTTTATAGTCAATATACTCAATTCACATGTCCCCCACTAATGTCAATAGATTGCTTTTATTGGATCACATATACCCCCACAAAGGTCAATAGACTTCATAGAATAGCCTAAGAAAATACAAAACAATAGGAGTTGGCAAGAAGCCAGGTCACAATTACCACCAAAGCACCGGCATAAATGCATTACACAGGAACTACACTTCGGAACTAAATTTCTTGTCAGCATCCAAAACTTAATTAAGATCCTACTGCAATTCATGACAATGCCAGTACCCAAAAATGTCATAATAATCAGAGGTAATTTAATTATAGTTTTTGTTAGGTTTTGTAATGCGCAATTCCATTGGACAAATCTCCATTGTTGTATTTTTATTCACTCTATTGCTTCTGTGAATTATGAGAATTTAGTTGCGAATCCAACCCGACTCGTGACTGTGTTAGAGAAGTTTGTGTTGACATTCCGTATCGTGACTTGAGCATTCTTATTTGCCACTTCACTGATGAAGGACGGGGTCAAAGTTGTTTGACAGCTTGAGCGATCATTTGTGCGCTCAAGTGGTGAAGTAGATCATTCAGTATCTCTACCTGTATTCTGAACTTCTGAGAAGCAAGTTTTACTGCTTGAGTGGTAGATGTTGCACTCGAGCAATTGGTGTATATGTTTGCACCGCCTTTACTCACACCGCTCGAGCGGTAAAATGTGCACTTGAGCGGTATTCGCAACTCTGTTTAGTATAAAGTGCATCGTTTATTGTTTTTAGGGTTGAACTTGTCCAGATTCTTAGAGATGAGTAAAATACAAAGTGTTCTAGATTGGAAGGTGTTTATATATGAGTTTTCTTGATGTATAGATGGTGATTGATTGATCAACGAATTACATATTGTCAAACATCAAGCGTTTTTTCTCTTCTGTCATTCACAAAAAGAGAGATGGGTTCACCGATAGATTCCGGAAAACTTGGGCCTAAACCTTTGGTGGATTCTAGAGTGGCTCGTGGATTCGACATCAGTGTTTTGGATTCAACGTTGAGCAAAGTAATTCCAAGGTGAAGACGGTGGTGGAAGAGGCACATCGGGTTTGATTAAATTCGGGCGTGAATTCGCTAGGTAATTGAGAGTTCTTGTTTGTAATTCTTTTGTGTCTTCTTAGTAGATTGTTTTGTGACTTTGGCCTTTGATTTTTTTTATCATAATTGGAGGTGCTCTAATTGTGATTTTTTCCACATTAAATCGTTGTCCCGATTTTGTTGTTGATTGTTTGATTGGAATTGTTGTTCATTGTTTCAAATTGAATCATAATCACAAATCAATATCTTGGCGGTTCATAGATTTGTCAATTTTAGTCCCTAAAGTACGAGCTTTATGTCATTTTGGTCCTCAATGTCTAAATTGTGTCAATTTAATTTCCAATGTATAAAAGTGTTTCAATTTGGTCCTCAATTTTAAATTGTGTCAATCTACCATCCAATGTATAAAAAGTGTTTCAATATGCCAAAATAGCAAATAACTCATACTTTGGAGTTAGAGGTATATATGCAATTAATGCACCAAAAATAGATGGAAGCATTATTAGTTTCTTCTATGCAACCACAAAATATGTTATCACTCATCACACAGTCTAAAGGGTGGGCTATCAATTCCAGGACTGGACATCGTGGGCAAGTTATGCAAGCAAGTTGAGCAATGGAAACAATGCACATTTTCCATTTTGTTATCCCCCACTCTGGTGAAATTGAAGAGAAAAAAAAAAATAAAGAAAAAGAAAAAGAAAAAGAAAAGACAAATTAATTCACGTGCATTACAACCCTGCCATTGTGGAATCTTTAGGTTGTTTAGTCACCAACACAATTAAGGCTGACTCTGCATACAAAACAAAATTAAAAAATAACATTTCAAATTTCAGGAATGAATTCCCAGCTGCTCCAGTTATGTCTCATGGTCATGACATTACTACATGTTGGAATGCTCCCTGCAGCGACTACAGCTAGTACCTTTGGTGGTAACGAGACAAATCGCCTTTCATTGCTAGCCTTCAAGTCGAAGATAATACACGACCCTTGTCATGTCATTTTGTAATAAATTCATTACATTTTTTCCCCTTTGTTTAGCATTAAAATATTGTCCATTATGCCATTGTGTGGGTAATCTAAAAGATTCAATTGGATTAATGGTGATTTAAATAATTAATAATGCTTTTATGTGTTTGAACTCCATGAATTATGTTAACCCCCAAACCAATCTAGAATGAGTTCATATTTAGGCCCTCTTTTTGCTCTTTTTTTTTTTTTTTTTGATTAGCAAAAAAGAAACTTTATTGATGAAAACAAGTACAAGGTACAAATTAAATTACACCAATAAAGAAAATAGGAGTGCAGGAGCATCACAATGAGCTAAATGATCCCAACTAGGTTGGCACCACAAAGCCCATCCTATCATTTGCAAGCACCCCCTAGTTGGTGAGGAACCAACGAGAGAGACAGAACAAAACACCAAACCAATGCTGCTATGCTGCTAGACATCATCTGGTAGACACCAGCAGCAGTCATTCTCAGAATCAAAACACCAAAGACAAAGAGAGATAGAGAAGTAATCAAATAACCAGCCCATATCATATCAGCTAACCAGCAGAGGATGAACATAACCTCACGGCAATGCAAGACTGCTAGGCAGTAGGACACAACAGCAGACCAAGGCAGCATTCTACATTACAGCAGATTAGGATCAACATGCCCAATAGTCCAAGGCAGATTCTTGAACACTTCAGTAAGGAGCACCTACTATAATAGACTCTAGGACACTTCTGTTCAACCCAGATCAGCATCAAGCATATTACAGCAGCAGCATGATACACAATTTTTATTTGGAGCTAACTCTGCAGCCTATAACCAGAAACAGAATTACAATGTATGCACAAAAACACATGAGACCTGGCCAGCTCTGAACTACCATGACCACCAATCATACCAACAACCAACCAACCAAACAAACACTTTTTCACTCAACCTCCATTTCTAATGCAGAACTTCACCTGTGGCAGGTTAAAGACCAGGTCATTAATAGAAAGCTCCACCTGAGTTGGTGAGGCTTTGAGCCACATAGCTACACGAACCTTCACTATTTCACACAGGTCTTCCAAGTTTGGTTGAGAACCATTAAAGATGCAATCATTTCGATGCTTCCATGTAGACCAGAGGATAGCCAGAAGAAGAACCTTCCAAATTTTCTTTTCCAGCTTCTTCATTCTACAACCATCCCACCAATTCAACAGTCCATTCACTGAACCTGGTAGCACCCATTGCACACCCCACCATCGGACAATGTTGGACCAAAGCAACCAAACGAAATGACAGTACAATAGAATATGTTCCACAGTTTCAATCTCATTATGACAGAAGACACAATCCAGATTTACATTCCCTGTTAGAATACCAATTCTATGAAGGAAACTCGAAGTTTTAATCTTACCCAGCCAAGCCATCCACCCAAAACATTGAACTTTTGGAGGAGCAAAATTATTCCAAATTGAAGCAGCCACTAGTCGTATAGGTCCTAGATGTGATTCACTCCAAAGATATATTGAAGAAACGGAAAAAAGATTAGACG